TTTAATTTCTTCAATGATCCATTGCTTGTTCAGTAGTGTATTGTTTAGTCTCCACATCTTTGTGCCTTTCTCAGCTTTTTTCTTGTAATTAATTTCTAGCCTTATAGCATTATGATCGGAGAAGATGCTTGTTATTATTTCAATTTTTTTAAATTTGTAGAGGCTTGCCTTGTTTCCCAACATATGGTCTATCCTTGAGAATGTTCCATGTGCACTTGAGAAGAATGTGTATTCAGCTCTTTCAGGGTGAAGTGATCTATATATGTCTATTGAGTCCAATTGTTTTAGTTTTTCATTTAGCTCCACTATTTCCTTGTTGATTTTCTGTCTGGATGATCTGTCCATTGATGTGAGTGGGGTGTTGAGGTCCCCTACTATTATTGTGCTGTTTTCAACATCTTCCTTTAGGTCTGTTAATAGTTGCTTTATGAACCTTGGTGCTCCTGTGTTGGGTGCATAGATATTTATAAGCATTATTTCTTCTTGATGAAGTGTCCCTTTGATCATTATATATTGTCCCTCTGTGTCTCTCTTTACCTGTCTTATTTTGAAATCCGCTTTGTCTGATATAAGAATTGCAACACCTGCTTTTTTTTGCTTGCTATTAGCTTGAAGTATTGTCCTCTACCCCTTCACTCTGAGCCTGTGTTTGTCCTTGGGGCTGAGGTGTGTTTCCTGGAGGCAACAAATTGTTGGATCTTGCTCTTTAATCCATGTTGCCACTCTGTGTCTTTCTATTGGAGAGTTCCATCCATTCACATTGAGGGTGATTATTGATGCATGTGGACTTAATGCTGTCAATCTGTCACTCATTATCTTGTTTTCCTGCGTTTCTCTTTCTGTGTGCTTTAGCCTACCCATTTAATACTGCAATTTCTTATGCTGGGTTTCTTAGATTTTTCCTTATTTATGTTTTGTGGCTCTGTTCTGTTTTGTAGTTTAGTAGCTACCCTGAAATTTGTATTTAGAATTTCATGTATAATATAGTCTATTCTCTGGTGGTCTCTTACTTACTTGGCCTGGACTGATTTAGTCCCTTTGCTCTTCCCCTCCTAAATTATTATTTTTATTTCTTGTTCCAACTTGTGTTATGAGTTTGTAGTTAGAGTGATAAGATCGTCTTTACTTTGGTGGTTTCCTTACCTTTATCCTAATGCTATAGTTGAATATTTGCTATCCTATTCTGGTTCTATCTATCTGTCTCCCTACTCTGTGGTTTGTGACCGCTTTCTCCCTTTTTTCTTTTTTCAGTTATGAGAGCCTTCTTGAGGATTTCTTGTAGTGGAGGACTTTTGGTTACAAATTCCCTTAACTTTTGTTTGTCTGGAAAAGATTTAATTTCTCCCTCATATCTGAAGGATATTTTTGCTGGATAGAGTATTCTTGGCTGAAGATTTTTATCTTTTAAAATTTTGAATATGTCACTCCATTCTCTCCTAGCTTGTAAGGTTTCTGTAGAGAAATCTGCTGAAAGTCTCATAGGAGTTCCTTTGTAGGTTATTTTCTTCTACCTTGCTGCCCTGAGTATTCTTTCTTTGTCTTTCATTTTTGCCATTTGTATTACTATATGCCTTGCAGTAGGTCTTTTTACATGGACAAATCTAGGAGATCTGAAAGCTTCCTCTACACACATTTCTCCCTCAATCCCTAGATTTGGGAAGTTCTCTTCTATAATTTCATTAAGCACACTTTCTGCTCCATTTTCCTTTTCCACGTTTTCAGGAATTCCTATGATCCTTAAATTCTTTGTCCTCATTGAATCCGTTATCTCTTGGAGATTTTCCTCGTTTTTTTTAACTCTTAGTTCTCTTTCTTCCTCTGTCTGGAGCCATTCAGCCTGTCTATCTTCGATTATGCTAATTTTCTTCTCTATGGTGTCTACACGGGCATTCAGGGAATCGTATTCTGTTTTAACTGGTCCATTGTGGTTTTCATCTCTAGTAATTCTGTTTGATTCTTCTTTATAATTTCAATCTCTTTTGTTAAGTAACTCCAGATCTCGTTGGGTTGTTTCTCTATCTTTCTACCTCAGTGAGTTTTTTGATTATAGCTATGAACTCATTTTCACTAAGTTTACCTATTTCCAAGTCCTCAGGACTTAATTCTGTGTTTTTATTGTTTTGCTTCTGGTCTGGAGCTTTTATAAATTGCTGGATGGTAGAGGAGGGGTTTTTTTGCATGATGGTAGAATTCGGTTGCAGTTACAGCCTTTCGCCACTAGATGGGGGTTGAGAGCCACGTGTTCTGAGCTCTCTGCCTTCGGGCAAGATGGCGGCGCCCAGCGCGGTTTGCCGGGGGTGGGGAGGGGCTGCTTTTATCCCTGCGATCTGGATTCAGATCTGTTCTGTTCTCTGGTCTCCTGGGGCCCTGGGTTTATGGGGTCCCCACACATAGAAGCTTTCCCGTCAGCGGGTTTCCACTGTACCGGCAGTGGGAGTCCTGGATGATCCCCAGTCATGCGGCCCCTCCCTCGCTCCTTCCTGCACCCACGGCAGTGATCCCAGTCTCTAGGGGAGGGAGTGAAGTTCTCTCCTTCCCGGTTCCAGCTTCTCCGAGGCCAGCTCCAGCCTCCGCCCTCCGTCTGTTTGGTACTGTAGGTCACTGACGTCCTGGCATTAGGTTTATTAGCTGAAATTCAGTTTTTTTCCAATCCTTTGTTGTAGTTTGGAGGGGAGAGAGTCCTGAGTGAGCTCACCCCACCATTTTGCTCCGCCCACTCTAGAAGAACATATTTTTGAAAAAAATAAGGAGCATGACCTATTAGATGTATCAATAAATTATAAAACAACATAATTCAGTTGTTGTGGGGCTGATATGAGAGTCTACAGGCAGAAGGATGCCAGAGCCAACGTGACATCAGCATTTAGACTGTGATAAAAAGTGACATTCAGAGGGGAAAGGACAGGCTGTTTCATCGATGATGTTGGGATAGTTGGTAAACCCCAAGGAAACAAACTAGATCACAGGCTCACATAATTTGCAAAATAAAATGTGGCTCTATAAATATTTAAATGTAAAGAGTAAAACCATAAGAGAACACAGTTTAAATGCAAGGATATATTTATCAGCTTTTACAGAGGAAAAGGCCTTTTTTGCATCCACACAATGCCAGAAACCAAAGAGGAAAGCCACTGATCGATTTGGCCAAAAATTTGTGTGTTAAAAACAGCCTCATATACAAAATTAAAAGGCCAAAGACAAGCTGTGGAAATTATTGACAACATAGTTTGCCTCAAAGTGTCGGTGGTAGCATTTGCCAAAATGCGTTAATATCCTTAATATGTAAAGAGCTCTTGTAAATAAATAAAAGGATAAAACCCCAAGGAGATAGTGGGTAGATAGTATGAGTGCACATGTTGAAAAAGAAAAAATTCAAATAGCCAATAAAGATTTGGAAAAAAGAACCTCATTAATGATCAAAGAAATGTAAATTCAAGCAGCAATAGTATACTCTATTTTGCTGGACAGATTTTCCCCCATGATAATGCCCGATGTTGATAAAGATGCAGGGAAACAGGTGAACTGCCATTGCATTTATAAACTGGCCCAGCAGTTTTGCAGAGTGATGTGGCAAAATGTATCAAAAGTCACAAAGGATGGTGTTAACTTTTAGAAATTTGTCTCAAGGATATTCTATGTGCATCAAGATGTAGTTATAGTGGTTTTTTTTTATAATGGCTAAAAACTGGAATGAAACTAAATGAGCAACAATGTGGGCTTTGTTAACATTCGGCAGGTCAATTCACACAGTGCCTGGCAGCTATGAAAACTTCCAGGAAAGGAGTATTTTGTGACGTGGGAAAATGTTCATGAAATTTTTGCTATATGAAAAGAATAGACTACAAAATAGTATGTACGCTGTGATGCCCATTTCTCCCCCCAGGGAAAAAGATAACTGTGAAGACCGGAAGGAGGAATATCAAAATGTTAGTGGTGGCTAGTTTGGTTAGGTGGTGTCATCAGTGATTTGCATTATTATTTCAGCTTTTCAGTATTTTCCACAAAGTGTACAATGATTGTGTGTTACTGTCACAATTGGGCTTAAAGTGTTAATAAAAATCAATCTAAACTAATTTCCTGGCTGTACCAAGAAGGGGCTGATGCCTGAGGGGTTTCAGTCCTGTAACAAGTGTACTGCAAAACAGAAATTTGAACTCGGGTCTCTTCTTCTTCTTCTTCTTCTTCTTCTTTTTTTTTTTTTTTTGAGGAAGAGTAGCCCTGAGCTAACATCTGCCAGTCCTCCTCTCTTTGTTGAGGAAGACTGGCCCTGAGGTAACATCCATGCCCTTCTTCCTCTACTTTACACATGGGACGCCTACCACAGCATGGCTTGCCATGCGGCGTCATGTCCGTGCCCGAGATCCAAACTGGTGAACCCCTGGCCACCGAGACGCGGAACGTGGGAGCTTAATTGCTGCACCACCGGGCCGGCCCCCGAACTCGGGTCTCTTAATGCTTCATCTGGGGCTCGTTCTTAAGAAAAGTGGGGTTTTGTTTTGACCCCAGTGGTTCCTTGTCCCAAGAACCTCATATCTGAGAAACTCTTTAGGAAATAACCCAAAATGTGGAAAAAGCCATATGCACAAAGATGTTCCTCATGGTGTTATTTATGATAGGGAAAATTGTTAGCAATTGAAATGTTCAGTCTGGGGCGTGGTTAAGTAACTGGCATGCTCACTTGGGAACACTGGATAGCTATTGAAAACGGTGACAACGAAGAAGCGTGCTGATATGAAAAAATGCTGTGGTAGCTATAACATAATGGAAAAAACCAGGACATAAAATATGTATGTTATGATTATAATCACAAACATAAGATTCAGAAGGGAATTGAATAATAGGAGAGTAGATTTTAAGTAAGGATGACGCAGCTATCAGAAACATTGATTTTCACTTAAAAGTTTCACTGTTTCTATTAAGCTATTATAGTCCTTTTGTAATAATTCTAAAAAACCTAAAAAGTAAAAATAGATGAGCACCTTTCCAAATTCTTTGCCTAGGGCTGGATTCTGGATGGCATCCCTGAAACTCGGGAGCAGGCTCTGATGATCCAGACCGTCGGGATCACCCCCAGACATGTCAGTGAGTAGCCCCCTGTGGTCCCTCCCACCAGAGGGACAGTCCCAAGACCCCACGAGTGAGCGCCCTGCTCTGTATCCCCAGCTCCCCAGTGCCCACCCTCAGCCCAGGCCCTGTCCGAGAGGGAGCTTTATGGACCTATGACCCAGCAGGAAAAAGGAGAATGGCACAAAGTTTTCATAAAGCTAAATGCATTCGGGGATTGTTCTTAGAAAAGTGGTGTTTTGTTTTGACCCTGGTGGTTCTTTGTTCTAGGAACCCCAAATCAGAAACTCTTTTTAGGAAATAATCCAAAATGTGACAAAAGCATTATGTACAATGATGTTCCTCATGGTGTTATTTATGATAGCGGGAATTGTTAGCAGTCAGAATGTTCAAGTGTGAACTGTCCTGTGTCCTGAGATTGTGTCCTTTGGGTTTTGGTGCTGAGAAGACATTTCTTTCAAGGGATTTTTGGGGATGGGAGATGGTGGTTGTTTTAATGTCATTATATAGCAAAAGAAACATAAATTATTGGTTCACGAGATTCAAATGTCCGGGATCCCCTGCCCAGAATGCCTGGTTTTGCCCTTTTCTTCTCTACCCAGTTGTGCTGAGTGCTCCAGATACGGTCCTGATTGAGAGAAACTTGGGGAAGAGAATCGACCCTCAAACTGGAGGTACGGCTATCTCCACCGCCTGTCCCCCTACTGCCTGTTTACTGAGCCCTTGGCTTCCTCTGCTCTGAGCACCTGCAGCGAGTGGGGCATGTGAGAGGCCACACAGGCAAGCGCAGGCTCAGATGTCACAGGCTGAGCTCTCTTTGTCTTGAGCTGGGTCTCGAAGACCAGGCGGTCCAGCAGGGGGCCTGGGGGCCCTTGACCTCTGGGCTCTGGCTTTGGTGGCAGAGAGACCTGGATTTGGGAACCCTGCCTTTGCCCCTTTCCAGCTGTGCAACGTGGGATGAGTTCCCCAACATCTCCAAGACTCGGTTTTCTCCTCTGTACATGGGAGGAAAATATGGAGGCCTACCTTATGATCGCATCGCTATGAGGATGAAACCTGAGTCTGCACATGGGTCCTATCAGAGTGCCCGGCTCAGACCTTCACGGCTGCCCTTCCTGCCGTGCTGAGTAGCCTCATCATTCTGTTATTGTTAACAGTAACGGAAGAGCAGGCCCGGAGCAGAGTGCAGCCTGCACTGGTGGGCTGGGCAAAGGCCGCAGGATTCGTAGGCTCTCGCCTCCAGGACAGCAAGCCCCCAGCCAGATGCAGCAGTGTCCTTGGCGGCCACTGGGCGGGTGACTCTAACTGCATCCCTCTCTCCCTGCAGAGATTTATCACACCACCTTTGACTGGCCCTCTGAATCTGAAATCCAGGACCGACTGATAGTGCCGGTGGGCATCTCAGAGCTGGAGACGGCTGGGAAATTGCTGGAGTATCACAGGAACATTGTCAGGATCTTCCCCTCGTACCCCAAAATCCTGAAAGTCATCAGTGCCGACCAGCCGTGTGTGGACGTCTTCTACCAGGGTAAACACGAACGGGCAGCGTGTTCACCATGTGCCTCGCCCCTCCTCACCCCATGTCAGTTCCTCTGCCAGCAGCCAGCGTCCAGGATGTGCCTGGGACCCTGGAGTCCAGTCGTGGACCGCCCAGCTCCCCTGCCAGAAATGAGTGCAGGGTCCCTGAGACCGCCCCGCTTGGGGACCATGGGCTAATGTTCTCCGCCCTGGTGTGGTCCGCAGATTTGACAGTGAGGGTGGGCGAGGGGAGGCGAGGGGCGGGGTGGCAGGGGCACGGGAGTGAGAAGTTTTGCCCTGACAGTGAGGGAGGAGGAAGAGAAAATTTATAAAAATTATAACAAACAAACATACAAACAAACCCCATCACCACCACAAAAAATGAAAAAAGCAACACAACTCAGGTGTTGCGAGTCCATGTGGAGCAGGGATAAGCAGCCGCGCGCCTGCCAGTGTAGTGGCGTCAGGAGCAATAACGCGGGTTCACGGCAGCTTCCTAGAAACCGCTGAAGCAGGTGCGTGCGCAGAGGCAGGGGTGACGATTAAGCCCGAGACTTTGGAACCAGGTGACCTGTGTTCAAATCGCAGCCCCACCCTACGTCAGCTGTGCGGTCTTAGGCAACCATCCTAACCCCTCTGAGCCTCAGTTTGTCATCCCTAAGATGGGAACAAAAATCCTGCCTTCCTCACAGGCTTAGGTGAGGGTTACAGAGATTCTGCAAGTCCTGTGTGCACAGCTCTGAGCCCAGAGGCAGGTGCAGAGAAACGGCTCAATGAGCGTCAGACATTATTGCTCTCATCATGATTCCATATCGTGTCCAAAAGGGCCACAGAAAGTTAGCATAGTTCTATCCCAAAGCAGCTGAATTACAATTTTTTCAAGTCTTGCTGAGCTTCAGTTCTTTCCAAAGCTAGGTTTCCCCTTTCATGCAGTGCCAGATAAATGACAATAAAATACCACCACAGATATTTAAGACACTGTACAGTTTGCAATGGCCTTTCTTTGTATTCTCTCCAATCTCTTCAAGAAAAGTTTTGTTTTGCTGGGGAGGTGGTTCTGAGCTCCCTGCACTGGCCCTCCCACCAGCCTCGCCTGCTAGTGGGCTCATCGCTTTGTGTTACTGAAAGCCCGGAAACGGCACGGCCTCGCTCTCTGAAGGGGTCAGTCAGCCGCCGGGGGGATGTCTAGAAACTGATGCTACTTTAACAAACGCCAGGCTTTGGGGGGGTTACAGTTTTCCAGTGAGTCTGCATCTCGGAAGGGTCTAGGAGCAGACACTGCACTCTGAAGATAAACAACCACAATGTTTATCTTATGCCGTGATGCTGAATTTACACATTAATTACTTCCAAATTACTTAATTAAATTTAAAAGTTCATATGATTGTTCATAAAGAATTCATGCCTGGAATTGTAAATAAAAATATGAGTGTCTGAATATTAATTATTATTAATTAATAATGCAGAGAGATAAATTGAAAATTGGAATGCAAAATTCTCTCTGTGTTGTTTTTTAAATCTCTCTGCAGTGTATCCAGCAACCACATATTTTTAAAAAGAATAATTCGATGTTGAGACTGTCTGGGGGATCATTACTTCTAATTAACTTAGTTATTTACTGTAAATTAGGCATCATTTGTAAGCAGGCTGCTTTGCCTGTGGTATTTGTGCTCCTCAGATGTGTCAGATCACGGAAGTTCTGAGGATAGAGAGAACCTTGCTTGAATCGCTTACTCCGGGTTATCCTCACTGACGGAAAAGGTTACCCAAAGCAGTGGGTTTGGGAGAGTTACCCCAGCCCTGCCAGCTCTCTGTAAAATGGGAACAAGAATGACATCCCTCATGAGATTGTTGCACTGATCAAATAAGATAATGCCTATAGGGTGTTTAGCTTAGTGGTTAATACGTGCTAGCGATGATGGTGACAATGATTATCACAACCTTGAAGTCTGTGGATTCGCTTACTATGCTTTTAGTTCTAAACTGAGGAGGATTGTAGCGTCTCCAATGATCCTTCCAATTAAACAGTCCTACAAAAATTCGAGAGTTCAAAATCTGCATGATAAACGTATCCCAGTGGTTCTCAATTTTGTCTTCCTCCCCGGGAGCATTTGGCAATGTCTGGAGACATTTGTGGTTGTCACAACTTGGGAGTGTGCTACTAGTACCTGGTGGGTAGATGCCAAGGAAGTGCCTCAAACTGCCAAAGTGCAAGGTTGGCAAACCCTGCTGCGCCTGTCAACAGTCTCTGCGTGGTCCGGTTCCTGAAGGCAGCAGTTGGCTCAGCCCACAGCCCAGGGCAGAATCCATCTGAAGGCGGGAAGCCGTCACAGGGCTACCTTGCAGGGTGGTCTGGGTTCTTGGCAGGAGGCGGGGCTGAGGAGGGAGACCTTGTTTTGATGCGGGTGGCTGGGGGTCTGGGCCTCAGCCTGTGGGCAGCTTCCCTTGTGTGGTGCTGATGGGCTGCCCTTTCATGGACCCCGCAGTCAGCTCTCACACTTCCTCCTGTGTGCTCGGGTTGAGGGGTGGCCTGGTTTGATGTTCAGTAGCTTTTGGCACCCCGTGCCCCCCATGGTGTGGTCGCCTCAGTGTTAGAGAAGCTCGCTCCTGTCTCCCCACTTCTTTGTTCATCAAATGCCAGGGGTGCACCATGGGCCAGGCAGGGCGGCTACATTCACGCAATCCGGGGACCTGTTTGATCACTGCCTCTTTGGAGATTCGAAACAAAGTTGGTGTCACCGGAACACCACTGCAAATTATTCTCTGCCAACTCCTGAGTCCTTTGGAAGTCCTGGTGTGCCAGGCCCCCATGTGGCCTGATGCGTTTATCAAAGCCTGTGTCTGACACTAGGGGACTGACCTGGTCCCGGGGCTTCAGGTTAGGGGCTCAGCCCTCAATTTGGAAACATCTCAACCCAGTAGTGTGTGTCCTGTGTCCTGGGACCAGCCCCCCAACAACACGCCCAGGCCCCCTTCAACCAGGAGGGACACACGGATGCCACGCCCGCTGTGTTGTAGAGGCATTCCAGGGCGGTGCTCAGAGGCCGCTTCTGTGGACTCATTGCCCTCTCTTCACCTTGGTGTCCAGGCCTGAAGCATCATTCCTTCCCCCGCAGCTTCACCCTGTGGCTGCTCTGCAGGTGCACAGAGGGTTTCCATGGGGCTATAAAGGAGAGAAATAATTACTGCCCCCAAAAGTGCCCCAGCAGAGGCATTGTAAGCTGGTTTCCCTTTCTTTAGGACCTGACTTTGTTATCCTCACATCCTCTCTTTCCAGCTCTGACCTACGTCCAAACCAACCATCGATCTAATGCCCCATTCACCCCGAGGGTGCTGCTTTGCGGGCCCATGGGCAGTGGGAAAAGTCTGCAGGCTGCCCTCCTGGCCCAGAAATACAGCCTCGTCAACGGTGAGTGCCCCGGCAGCCACCCTGCTTCAGAGCCTTCCCCTCCCTCCTGCCCTCCCAAGCTTTCCCGTTTTATGGGGGTGGTGCGAAGGAGGCCGGTATCACTTCTCTTTCTTGCTCTCTGCTCTGAACAATTTCCAGTTAGTCCATCTTTGCAGGGATAAGGACTTTTCCTCCCAAAGAATATTGCCATGAAAACATTAACCGGTAAAAACATGTCCACAGCCCAAAGAGCCGGAGCAGTTTCTAGTCGTCATTTTTTACATCCTTTGGAGCAGTGGTTTTTCTGTGCTGTGCACCAGAGGTGCTTCCATCCAGCCCCCGCAGTCTCCCGCGAAGCTGCAGCTCTTGCATAATATGGGTCTGCTGTTTATTTATTTTCTCCGATCTCGTTTGGCTCCGGAACCCAGGTCAGCGTGTTTACAGGCAAACAATTTCTGAACCAGAGGAAGACTTCTCACTTGGCACAGTTTCAATGAATATTTTACCAGGAGGAAAGCAAATATTGAAATCAATTCTCCAGGTCTTTCGCGGGGTGGTCCCAGGCGGTCTTAGCTGCCAGCCTGCCTTCAGGAGGAGAAAGGACTGGAAAGGAGGAAGAAACTGTAGCAGACACACAGTGCTGCTGGAGGGAGTTACAGGCACTGCCCCACCCCCAATATTCCATAAGCCGGAGTAACCTCTACTTTATTAACCAAGAAAACATGAGACCTGCACCCAAAATATGTAAATATGCATGTATATATGCCCCCGATTACACGTCCATGCCATGCAAATATGTGTGTATCCGCACACACACACATACACACAAATATATATGTATATATATATATATATATATATATATTTACACCACCCCAGAAGGATGAAGGTTTGAATAAAAATGCTTTTCAATTAGTTCTCCTCCAACTTAAAATTCCAAAGCCGCTGAGACTAGCCAGGAATCAGTGATAAAAATCATACCCACTAAATGAAGATAGAGAACCAAGCAATTATTCTGATTTGTATGGGAAAATACTAATAATAGTATTGGTATTTTAATAAAAATACTAAACAGTGGTATTCTGATTTGATTAGTATGGAAAATAGTGTGGACACTTTGGGATAAAAAATTATGTTGCCTGTATCACTGTTTTCTTTTAAATAATGGAGTTTTTCAGATCATCTCTTCTCTTTTTGATTTTCCCTCTTAAGAGTATTATAAGACTAAATTTCCAGGTCTGGTTAAGGGGACTTCTTTGTTAAGAACGAGCAGCAGTCTACTTGTAGCTGCACCCACGTGTTTATTTAAGTGTCTGTACTGATTGTTATGTGAAGGGACAGGAAGAGTTATAGTGAAAAGAGCCTTAATGGCAGAAGGAGGGTCTGAAAATCGCAACAGCAATACCTTAATGTAGCTCATGGCTTTATTTAAATAATTGTCACGGTGCTGTCTTTCGTTTATGCAGACACTCTCATTCAAGAAAAGTATTTTTTAATTTAAATTGTTTTCAGTGCACCAAACATGAAAAAATGAAATTACTAGACTAGATTTTTCCAAAAATGAAAGTAGAAAAGCTCATCATAGTTTTTGCTTTGTAACAAAAGAGCCATTTGGGGGCTCTTTTCGACAATTGAGCATTTGGAGACTGACTCAGAAAGCTCACATTTCTCAAAGATGTTCTTGATAAAGATGAGACATCATGAGATTTCAGTAAACGGATTTAAAGAACCTACTATGGGCAGAAGCGAGCACTGCCTGTCTGTTGAGGTCTCCGTGTGGAGGCCTGTCTGCACCCAGGGCTCCAGGAACTGCCTGCCCCGTGGCCATCGCCTGGCTTGGTTCTCATCTCCACATTAGGAACCTGTAAGTCATCGGAAACATCTCCAAACAAACAACCCAACATGCACTCCAACCAGGTTGATTGAAAGACTTCCATTTACAATTGGTGGGGATATAAACAGGCACAGCTTTTTGAAAGATAAAGGCCACTATTGATTAAAAAGCTAACTTTGCAAATCCTTTGGCCCAATGACTTTACTCCCAAGATTTTATTCTACTGAAATACTCACTCAAATATTCAACCAGAGATACAAAGGATGCATAAGGAAGAATAGAGGCAACCCCAAACTCTGTTCTTAACAGGGTTAGTTAAGTAAGTTATGGCAAAGCCATATAATGGAGTACTAGGCAGCTATTAAAAAGAAACCTGTAGGGGCCCGCCCAGTAGCCAAGTGGTTAAGTTTTTGCACTCCGCTGCAGCGGCCCGGGGTTTCACTGGTTCGGATCCTGGGCATGGACGTGGCACCGCTCGTCAGGCCACGCTGAGGTGGCGTCCTCTGTGCCACAACTAGAAAGACCCACAGCTAAAATACGCAATTATGTACTGGCGGAATTTTGGAAGAAAAAGCAGAAAGAAACTTACAAATCGGCTTGATGTCCGTGATGTATTGTTAAATGAGGGAGGGGGCAGAAAGTAAGTCACTCGGCAGTGTTCAGGGTATCATCTCATTTTTGTTTCAAAGTTTATGTTAGTCCATGCTCAGAAAAAATCTGAAAGAACATCCATACACCAAACTGGTTATCTCTGTAGAATGGTATATTATACAATTCTGGGGGGTTTTTTCCCCAATAAGCTTGAATTTTCTAACCAGAAACCACCTTGAAAAATTTTGTTAAAATATTTTTCATATTACTCACTGAGTGTCTACTATGTGCAGTGCACTTCATTAGGCACACAGATAAGGCAAAGTAGACAAAATAAGAAAGGAACTTAAGGGTCCAGGTGGGCTGGGGAGGGGGAGCAAGCAGAGTGAGGTAGGGCTGAGCCCACACAGTCGCAGGTCTGCTTGTGTCTAGAGCCTTGGAACTTTTGAACCTTTGGGAGAGGAGACTGCTACAGTGTTCTCTTCACAGGACCCTGCAGAGCGAGGTGGAGGGAGGCTGGGCTTTTTAACTGTTCTTGCCTAATACAAGCACTTAATATTACATATTTTCCTCTGAACACTTTTTAGCTGCATCTCATGAAATTTTAATATGTTGTGTTTTCTCATTCAGTTCAAACTATTTTCTAATCCCCCTTGTGGTTTCTTTCTTAACCCATGTATTATTTAGACTCATGTATAATTGCTTAATTTCCAAATATTTGGGAATTTTCCATATTTTTTTGGTTATAGACTTCTAACTTAATTCTGTTGTGGTCAAAGAACATACCCAATGTGATTTCAATCCTTTCAAATGTGTTGATACTTTCTTATGGCCGAGTGTATGGTCTGTATTGATGAATTTCACGTGTACTTGAAAAGAATAAGGGGGCTGGCCCCGTGGCCGAGTGGTTAAGTTTGCGCGCTCCGCTGCAGGCGGCCCAGTGTTTTGTTAGTTCGAATCCTGGGCGCAGACATGGCACTGCTCATCAGACCACGCTGAGGCAGCGTCCCACATGCCACAACTAGAAGGACCCACAATGAAGAATACACAACTATGTACCGGGGGGCTTTGGGGAGAAAAAGGAAAAAAATAAAATCTTTAAAAAAAAAAAAAAAAGAATAAGTATTCTGGCATTGTTGGATATAGTGCTCTATAAATGTCAATTAGGATAAGATGTTTGATAGTGTTGTTCAAATCTTCTATATCCTTAATGATTTCTCTCTACTTATTATTTCAGTTACTGAGAAAAGTGTGTTAAAATCTCCAACTGTAATTGTGGATTTGTCTATTTCTCTGCCAGTCTTCATGTAATTTGAAGCTATGTTGTTAAATGCGTATACTCGAAGGATTGTTATATCTTCTTGATGAAATGACCCTTTTATTGTTAGGAAATGTTCCTCTGCTTCTCCAGTAATACTCACTTTCTTTAAGTCTATTTGTCTGATATTAATATAGCCACTCTAACTTTCTTGTGATTAGTGTCTGTACAGCATATCTTCTATCCTTTTCCTTTCAAACTCTCTGTGTCTTATATTCTAAATATGTTTCTTATAGACAACATTTAGTTGGGTCTTGCTTTCTTAAAAATCCAGTCTAGGGGCCAGCTCGGAGGCGTAGCAGTTTAAGCTCATGTGCTCTGCTTCAGTGGCCTGGGGTTCACCAGTTTGGATCCTGGGCAAGGACCTGCGCACCACTTACCAAGCCATGCTGTGGCAGTCTTCCCACATGTAAAACAGAGGAAGATGGGCACAGATGTTGGCTCATGGCCAAGCTTCCTCAGCAAAAGAGGAGGATGGCAGTGGATGTTAGCTCAGGGCTAATCTGCTCCCCCCCCACCCCAAAATCCAGTCTGACATTTGTTGCCATTTTTTTTTAACTTTTTATTGAGATTATGATAGTTTACAACCTTGTGAAATTTCAGTTGTACATTATTGTCTGTCAGTAGTGTTGTAGGTGCATCACTTCACCCTTTGTGCCCACCCCCCACCCCCCCCTTGCCCCTGGTAGCCACTAATCTGTTCTCTTTGTCTACATGTTTAACTTCCACCTATGAGTGGAGTCATACAGAGATTGACATTGTTGCCTTTTAATTGAAGCATTTCACCCATTTCCCTTTAAAGTAATTTTATATGGTTGATTTCAAGTCTACCACCCTGGTTTTTTGTCTTCTGTTTGTGTTATCTGTTCTTTGTTCTTTCTTTCCTGCCAACTTTTGGATTAACTAAATTTTTTTTTAAAGATTTTATTTTTCCTTTTTCTCCCCAAAGCCCCCCAGTACATAGTTGTATATATTTTGGTTGTGAGTCCTTCTAGTTGTGGTACATGGAACACTGCCTCAGCATGGCCTGATGAGTGGTGCCATGTCCGTGCCCAGGATCGAACCAGTGAAACCCTGGGCCGCCGCAGCAGAACACGCAAACTTAACCACTCGGCCACGGGGCCGGCCCCTAACTAAATATTTTTTAGCAATCCGTTTTGTTTCCTCTATTGCCTTTTTAGCTATGTCTCTGTGTTATTTTGTTAGTAGTTGCTCTAGGGATTAAACATGCATCCTTTGCTTATCACAGTCTATCTTGAATTAGTATTATACCTCATATAGCACAAGAAGCTTACAGTAGTATATTTCCATTTATCTTGCTCCTGGCCTTTGTGTTATTGTTGTCATACGTTTTACTCCCACATATGTTATAAACCCTACAGTATATTGTAATTAGTTTTGCTTTAAACACTCATTTGTCTTTTTTTTTAAGTCAAGAAATGAGATGAGGAAAGACTTTTATGTATACCCAGATATCAACACTCTTCACTCCTTTGTTTAGGTCCAAGTTTCCATCTGATATTTTCTTTCAGCCTAAAGAACTTCCTTTAACATTTCTTGTAGTGCAAGTCTGCTGGTGACAAATTCTCTTAGCTTTCATCTCTCTGAAAGTGGCTTTATTTAACCTTCATTCTTAAAGGATGTTTTTGCTCCATATAGAAACCTATGTTGACAGGTTTTTTTCCTCTTAGCATTTTAAAGATGTCATTCCATTCTCTTATGGGTTGCGTAGCTTCTGAAGAGAACTCAGGGATTATTTTTATCATTGTTCCTCTTTATATAAAGCATCTCCCCCATCCAACCCCCGCCAGTGGCTGCTTTTAATATTTTCTCTTTATTTTTAGTTTTCAGAAACTTAACTATGGTGTATTGGGGTATGGTTTACTTTATGTTTCTTCTGCTTGGATCTCAGATTCTTGGAGCTGGGGGTTAATATTTTCTGTCAAATTTTCAAATTCTTCTCCCATTATTTTCTCAAATTTTTTTTCTCTCTCTCTTTTCTTTCTGGAACTTCAATTACATGTATGTTAGACTGCTTGATATTGTCCTTTAGGTCCCTGAGGTTCTATTCTTTTTTTCCAGTCCCCCCTCTTCTCTTTGCTTCAGTTTGGATACTTTCTATTGCCTGTTTTCCTGTCTTCTAATTCACGGATCGTAGCCCATCCGGTGATTCTTTCTCCATTTAAGATATTGTATTTTCCAGTTCTAGAATTTCCATCTGTTTCTTTTTTTTAGTTTCCATTTCTCTGCTGAGATTCTCCAATCTGTTCACTCATTTTGACTACCGTTTCCTTTAAAGTTTTAAACATATTTATAATAGCTGTTTTAAAGTCCTTGTGTGCTAATTCTGACATTTGTGTCATCTCTTGGTCTGATTCTATGGCCTGTTCTCTCTCCTTGTAGGGGTCATGTTTTCTTAGTTTTTTGCATCTCAAGTAGTTTTTTGTTATATGCTGGACGTTGTGATTTTTACATTGTTGAGAGCCTGGATTGTGTGATTCTCCTTTAAGAATATGGAATCAAAAAGCGTTGATTTCTAGCAGGCAGTTGTTTACTGGAGGATCAACTTGATCCCACTGAGGCCTATGTTTAGTCTTTGTTGAGGTGGAAGTAGAGTGTGCTTCCTCTAGGGCTGGTGTAACCCTATGCCTAAAGTGTGGCCTTGCAGAGTCTCAGCTGAACGGGGTGTTCAGCAAGGTCTCTCACCTTGGCTGCCAGAATGACAGCATCTCCGGTGCTGTGAGAACCTCCACTCAGTTCACAGCTTCCCAGTATCTTCTCTCTACCAAGCCTTGTGGAGTCTCACCCTGCACATGTGCAGCTTTGCATTGGCCAAAGACTGAGTGAACCTGTGCAGATTCCTGGAACTCCTTCTCTGCACAGCTCCGTCCTCTCCATTACCCTGTTCCCCTAATTCCAGCTGTCTCAGAACCCCAAACTCCAGTCTTTGTTTCCCACTGCTCTGTTTGTGTTCCACCTCTTCTGTGCTGTGGTTTCAAAAGTGCCCATACGTAGAAATCCAGGGTGAATGTGGGACTCACTTTGTGTGTTTCTCTTCTCCCGGGTATCATAGCTGTGTGCTGTCCAATGCCTGAAAAGAGTTGCGTCATGTATTTTGTTAAGTTTTATGGCTTTTTATGACAGAAGGTAAATATGATAGCTGTTACTCCTCCTGGCCAGAACTGGAAGCCAAGGATGGGTTTGATGTCACACTGACCTGGGTTTGAATCCCAGCTCTGTGGCGTCCTGGTTCTATGACCTAAAGCAGGTTACTTCACCTCTTTGAGTCTCAGTTTCCTTATCTAAAAAGCAACCGGTTGTCGTGAGGACTGAAGAAGACAAGGCATACTTAGCTTGGTGCTTGACGTGGGGAAGGCCTCAGTTACTGTCAGCTTTTATTATTGCTTATATTTCCCTTAGCGGGTGAAACTGCCAGTCATTTTGGATATAATCACTTCTGTCATTTACACGGTGAATTAAATATGTCATTATTGAGAAATAAGTCTTTGGTGATGGTTGTTGTATTAAACATTCACTTTTTCCAGTTAATTTTAGGATTGCTTTTGATTTCTTTAATATAGAAAGACAACCTCTTGGCCTTAAAGAAAGGAAAAGCAAGATTGTACGATTAACTTGGAAAACAGCTTGAACCTCTCAACTTTGGCTGTTAAGGGCTTTCATAGCCAATGATAGGGTAGCCTGTGTTTATTCATTCCACACGTGTTGACTGACACCTGCTGCATGTTGCCCATGGCTGGGGTCTGGAGACACAGTGGGGCTCAGAATAGAAAGGCCCTCGCTTGCACAGACCATGGATCCAAAGAGGGTCAGCAGCTATGGGGCGAGTGACTCCAGAATGCTGCCTCAGTTATGAGTGGGTCCATTTGTCATGTAAGCTGGTCCTATCTGTGGCCCCGTCATCCCGTGGAAACTCCTGGAAGGGCTGTAGAAACAAGTTCTCCCCCTCCCCCGCATAATCGCAGGTGAGCATGAACACACTCGTGACACGTCACTCAGCTCCAAGCAGTTCTCCACCGGGTGTCAATCCCACGCCGACCAGAGCTCCTTCAGCAAGTCCTGGCGTAACCGAGGCCCTGCAGGAGCTTCTCTGGTGGCGACGCCCTTGTTATGTCTTCCCTGCACCGTCAATTTTTAATATGTTTGTTGCCGAATGCATTCCTTTTCATTCCTTCCTCAATTGCTTTTCTGTTCCCTGATTCCCCTTTGATATGTACTCTCACTTGACACACCCAGGCTCAGAGCAGCCCTTTTATATTTTTCAGTGACCTTTTTCTTTTCTCTCAGCAGGCAGCAGTGGGGCTTCTTTTTTTCTCACTCTTGCTTCTATTTAAAATTTACCGGGTGCCTTTCTGTTCCTCTCCCCTCCAGTCTGCTGTGGGCAGCTGCTGAAAGAGGCCGTGGCAGACAAGTCAAAATTTGGCGAAGTTATCCAGCCCTTTTTTGAAAAGGACATGGCAGGTAGGCCACACTTCCCGCAACTTCCACAGCCTTCCAGGCTCTGAGAGAGAGTTTGCTCCCTGCTCAGCTCACTGAGCACCTTCGGGCTCAGGCTGCAGAAAACAACCGGGGAGTGAAAATTGGGCTTGCGTGTAAGCAAAGGCTCTGTTTTTGTTCCCTGGTCAAGCCTCTTGGCTTCCGAGTCTGTCCCAAGTGAGGGGACTTGTGGCTGTGCTGTGTTATCATGGGCAGTGTTTCTATTTCTCAAGAACATTTGCTTTCTGTGCCTAATCACACTTAAAATTGAGAGCCAAGAGAGGCCACCGAGCTGCCTACATCCTCCGTTATTTGGTGTACAAAAATGCTATGGGCAAGTATTCCGATTTAATCAGCAATCAGAAGCCAGAAGGTTCAGACAGCTTTGCAGACACGATGACTGACCGGCCGTTGGTCTTCAGGGGTTTAGATGCTACCTGTTTGATAGCGGAGGCTGGACTGGATAGTCTTTCCTATGATCTAGAATCTGACAGCATTCCCTGGATCTGACTCCTAGGAAGGGTCCCTTTGAGATCCTTCTAGTCCAGTTTCCTGAATCCACAAATGAGCCACAGGGAAGGGACTGAGCTGCCAAGGCCACACAGCCAGTTCATGTCTGTGCTCCTTTAGACCCCGTGTCGCTTCCTTGGGGCAGTGTATTTTCCACAGATCCACGTCTTCCTCTCTTGTATAAAGTGCTATAGCTCCTGTGTGCAACCAGTATGAGCTCAGTTATCAAGTCTGATACATATACTTAGTATGAAGAAAATCAACTGAGAAAGAAGCTGCCATTGTAATGGACAATGAGCGCGTTGCCTGGGACACCCTCCCGGCAGAATGCTCATTGCCTTCCACCATTTTCTGGATGGAGTAAGTTGATGAGGACGCACATAAGGATAGGCTGCTTGCTCCTAGCCATCAGTTCAAAGAGCCCCTTGGGGATGACGTCCTGGCCTGACTCTCTCAACTTTCCTTAAGATGTTCTAGTCCCCGGGGTGAAGTTCAAGTGAGGTGGAGTTGGATCCATCAGACACAATGATCTGCATCGGGCTGGGTCAGTGAGTGAGTCTGTTCATTCCCGACTCACTGGAATGGTAAATAGAATGAGGGGGAGGCAGGCACCAGGTGAGAATAAAAACCAGTGCAAGCTTTGGTGCCTCCCTGTCTGGCTCAGATCCCACGGCCAGCTTCACCAGCCACGTGGCCCATCTCAGAGCCCCAGGCTTCCTGGTAGTGAGACGGAGACAGAACTCTCTAGGTTCCAGGGTCCCGTGAGGACGGGGCGTGATGCGCGTGCACAGTGCCTGGGGGCCGGCTGTTGTCAGAGAGTAACAGCAACAGCAATGGTCGAGTGCCTGACGCACGCCCAGCAACACCAGCTTCCCGTTTGTTGGGGTGGGGGGTGGTAATTAGAACCCTAAAGAATGTTTGTTGAATAAATGAGTGTGATAAGTTAAGTTAAATGTTGCTGCATAGTAGTCCACTGCACAGGTGATAATTTAATTCCCCACTAACATAGATTTGTATTGTTTTAAATTGTGCTGCGCAGCGTTCCATTGTGTGGGCTGGATGATAGTTTGTTTCATTCTCCACTAACAAGCATTAGGTGGTTCAGAAAGAAGCCCGGTGACCAGCGCGTGAGCCAGTGGTAACAATGGGTGAATCCGGGCAGGGATATGCAGGAATTCTTTGACTCTTCTTGCAACTTTTATGTACTTTTGAATTTTTTTCAAAATAAAGTTACAAAAAGTAAATATGTGGGTGGTTTCCAAATTTGCAATTCTCCAATGATACTATAATGCATAACCTTATACCTACACAGGTTTGTGAACAACCCTGATTATCTTAGGATAAATTGATGGACTGGGTCAAAGGTAATGCCCATCCACAATTGTGACCAGTCGCATTGTACTGAGGTACACTCCTGCCATCGTTCCCCGGGAATGCTCCTGTTCTCTGTGTCTTTGCCATCTCTGGGTATTGCCAAGTTACTCGTTTTCTATTGCTACTGAAACAAACTTAGTGGTTTAAAATAACACAAATTTGTCATCTTACAATTCTGGAGGTCAGGAGTCTTAAAATCAAGTGTCAGCAGGGCTGCAGTTATTCCTGAGGCTCGGGGGAGAATCTGTCTCCTTGCCTTTTCCAGCTTCCAGAGGCCTCTTCCTCCATCTTCAAAGTCAGCAGTGTAGCATCTTCAAATCTCTCTCTCTCTCTGACCACTAAAAATAAACCCAAGGAGTCTTTTCGTTGGTGCTCAAGAGGCAGAGCTGTTTTTTTGTTTTGGGGAGTTGTTTGGTGACTCCAAAGGAAACTGAGTGCACAATTTCCAATTTCCTATCAAGCTAGCGAGTGGTGGGCAGCTTCACTCTTCGACGCTTTGTGCTGATTTTTTTCCTCTATGGCCCTTGGTTCACTTAGACTCTGTGGCTTTATACTTTGGCCCTTCCTACAACATTAAAGACACAACCACCACCAATATCATATCTTTCTAAGAGAAGCAATAAATTCTGTCATTTCACTAATCCTGATCTTGCAGGGATAACAAAGAATGCATTTACATTCGTAACCACTAACAGCGTCTCATTAGTGGGCTGTGGAGAAGCTGCGGAGAAAACCAAAGCATTCAACTCGCAGAGGAGGAGCACTGGAACCACCCGGTCTGGTGGGGGCCCACTTCACTACCAGCTGAGACAGAAAGACAGTGTAAATGATTCTCCACTGAATTGGGTTTCCAAGGAAAGAACAGACTGAGCACGGAAACTCTGTGTAGCCAACCACAGCCTTGCTTCTCTGGACAGCTGCAGGTGGCAGCCCAGCCGAGCCTCTGCTTCTGGAATCCAGCGTTGCTAACGTCTGGGACTCAAGTCGAGATGGACCACTGTTTGGGGTTTGGGGGTGGTAATCCTTTAGGAGACAGACCCAGAGTTTGCTGGGAGCATCGGGTGGAGAATGTGGCGAGATCTGAGGGCACATGTGGGCTTCCTAATATGCCCTCCAAGTCCAGGCCTGGGGACAAGCCAGGTGAGATGCAGAGGTGGCCCCTTACCACACAGACAGCCCCACCCCCACAGTGGGGATGGGGAGACTGGCCCCAGACCTTCCCCAGGAGGAGCCCTGCCTGAGGGGAGGCAGAACTGGGAAGGGAAGTCCTCCACACTGGAGCAAGCGCCAGCCAGCTGGGGGACGGGAGCCAAGGGACAAGGCCAGTTCCTCTCTGAGGAAGAGTGAGGCAGAGATGTGGAAGGAACACAGAATTCATCTTCCCAGCACTGCCCTGGAATCAGGAGGCTCCTCCGGAATACTCAAGAGCAGCGTGGCACAGCCCCAACGCTTTCAGCCCATTGACACACCTTCCAGAAGAGGGGCGCAGTGGTTGCTCCTCCATCCCTTGTCGGGCCCCGTCGAGTCATCTCAGATTCCTCTCTTCAAAATCTAGGCATGTTTCGGATGTCTCTGCCCTGGGTGCCAGCAGCATTCCTGGGAACACAGGAGAGCACCAGGCCACCCCGCTGCATGTGTTTTCGCACATGACATCCAGAAATCTACAACATTCAGGGAGATCAGCTAAAGAGGTGGAGATTCTTGTAAGGATCCGGTGGCCTCATCCCCCTGGGGCAGAGCCCTGGCATCTCTGAACTGGCCGATGTCACTACTGAAGCATCCTACCATGTAGCCAACCCAGTGTAGAAACCCACCCTCACCACCTGCCTCAGCCAGGCAGTGCCCTTCTCGGTACCAGACCTCCTCCACTGAGGACTCTCGGCCCAGTGTTTCTGGCTGCTGGCTGACCGGGTCACACCTTCTGCCCCTCTCTCACTGGGATCCCTGCCTTTGCAGGCTCTTGCCCTCTCTCCTCACCTTGGAGCTGCAAGCCCCAGAGGCAGGCAGTTCTGTGATTGCAGTGCATCTTGGCCACCCACGCTGTCACCACCACCATCACCCGCTCAGCTGAGTAGATCCAGATGTCATCTTTTACCAGCATGGAACCACTTCCTCCTTTTTCCCCCATGGGGTCTCAGATGTTATGTCCCAGTCGTGACCTCTGCAGACTTAGTTATGTTCTTTTTCTGTCCTCACAGGTGCTGCCAACACCTCCTTTTTTCGAATCAGCAACAAAATTAATAACTGTGTTGTTTTCGCCTCTTTCCACATTTACTGGGCAAAAGACTCCAGGGCCCCATCTTAGCTCATCCTAAATCTCTTGATCTCAGGCTCCCGGCGATGGCACTGTGGACAGAGGGTTGGCGAGATGCTTGTTCTGTGCCCTGGACTTTGAAATATATAGGTCTGACCTCCTAAACTCATTCCGACTCTAGCTTCAGCGAACAGAACAAATTTATTCCCCCGGGCTCTGCACACGGCATTCTTTATGCAGCAACCTCCATTACAGTCAACGGGAGTGGGGGCTGCATTCGACACAGGGTCGGGCCTCAAATCATGCAGGCTTAGCTGCCAGGAAGCTCCTGTCACTTTTACGTGGGTACAAACAAGTAAAAACTATTCCAGGCTTTCGGAAAAATAAGTTCTCAGCTGTTTATATACCATTTAAAATGAGATGGTTGGCGCTCATGAACTCTGCTGCCAACATGTACTATGGCAGTGTGTGCACTGTTCTTTTTCTCCCTCCCTGAAATCAGGCACAGGTGCAACTAGATCTCACTCTGCTCAGATCATCGGTGACTCACAGGCCACCACCTCCAAATGGTGTGCTCAGCTTCTTCCCTGGGGCTTCATTCATACCAAAGGGTCTCGTGGAAGGTGATATTTCTTAATTCCAGAGACCTAGAGCTTCCCAAGGAAGGCAGTCTTTGCCCATTGGAATGTCTGGTTCCCCAGTTTTCATTTAATATAAAAACTAGCCCTCCTCCTCGGCCTCAACTTGGCCCATCAGAAAGAAGTCAGCCCTGCTGTATTTTTAGCCTTCTCGGGTAGTTCAGCCATAAATTATGGTCCAGTGGCTGTCGGCAGTAGCTGGAACCTGA